AAGAGAAAAACCAAAAAAAGACTAAAAAGTTCATAAGAGTTTGGGCATTCTTTATTATTAAAAGCTCTAAAAGAGCTTGAATTTTGTTTGTTATTGAGGGCTATTTAAGAGCTTGAATTTATTTTGCAGTTTGAAGAAGCAAAATTTTTAAGTTGATGAGGATTAATATTTTAGTAGATTATATTGGAATATACTAAACTTTAAAGACAAAAAAATGTAATGGTTATCACATTGAAATTATAAATGAGAATGATACGAAATACCTTATATCATTTTTTTATTTTATTTTATGATGCCACATGTGCTTAATGGAGATCCAACAACCACACTTTTTGCATACAATTGAGAATTCAAAAGATTATCAATGGCCAAGATTTGATGTAATATAGTTCGTAGTAGGCAAAAAATATATTGCATTAAATGTTTGTTATGTGGTAGAAATCAAAGGGAGGAGCTTAGTTGTTCCACAAAAATTAGCGAAGTTGTTCATATGATATTGAATAAGTCAATTTAGTTGAAAAAAATTAGAAATGGTTCCAACAAGCATAATTTTAGAGATTTCTGACAATTAGAATTTTGTTTCTAGCAATTAAATGACAAGTAGCAAAAATTTGTTTTATAATGAAAGATTTCAAACTATTGAGATTCCTTTGATTTAGTCAAGAATGATAATAGGGAAATCGAAGAAAATCATGATCAGATTAGATGTCTAGCTAGCAGCTTCAATTGTACATGCATATAAATATAACTTTTCAGGACAATTTCCAATTGAAAGGCCACCCCTGTTAACAACATCTACATTTCAACATGCCTTAACTCAACATTCGTTTAGTTCATAAATAGCTCATACAATAATTTTACGACATTCTTGTTAGTATAGAAGAAGTTTAACTCTCTCAATGGGTTATTTATTATTGTTGTTTTTTGTTAAGTTAGCTTCAACAGTTGGATTTAATATAGTTGTTCTTTTTTTGCCAACAAATTTTGTATTTCTGTCAACAATTTACATTTCTATCTAGTTTCCTAGATTCAATTTCTACTTTGTTAGCAAATTTATGCTTCAACCTCTAGTTGTAATTCTTCTTAAGATTTCAAGTAAAGATCTCAGTTTCATTTCATTTCATTTCAATCAATAGCTAGTTCTTTACATTTCTACCAATACTCCTAGTTTTCAATTCTATTTAAGTTTTAAGATTTCTACCACACCTTTTAGTTTAATATTCTCTCGTTACCTTTGTTTCATATCATCTTCTATTTCTACCATGCACTCATTTTCCCTTTTTCTTATTTTTGCTTATTTTGCTTAACAAATTCACTTCATTATGACCCTAGATGTGGGAAGCCTCAGATGTTCTTTCAAGGTAATTATTTTTGAACCTTTATGCAAGAATGCACTCCTATTTTGCTACAATCATCTAGCCAAGGTATTATTGGTGCAATCTTTCAATCGAATAACAGTCTTCCATTGACTTTTAAACAAGCTCCTATACTTGAAAGAAGTGAGGGTCGCTAGAAGTCCTTCTTTCCTACTTTGAGTAAAGCAAGTGGCATGCTTAAGCAACTTCTGCCACAAGTGGCCAAAAGGAAAGCATTTTGAAGGAAACACGCATATTTAACAATGTTTGTTTTCTCTTCTAGATTATATATGCATACATAAATGTTATTGAATTATCATTTATGGAATTATCTATTTGGATGCTAATATAATTGTAAACTATTAATTACAATAAAAGGTGAAAAGAATCACTAACAATCATTATTTTTTTATAATTATATGTTTATTAATATTTATTGTATATAAAGAGTTTCTTTTCTTTTCCCATCATATATAATTAGTACATTATTTCACCATTCATATATATTCATTCTCAATCAAAGTCTTGATTAAATTTTCTCTTCATCAAAAACTTGAAGTTCTCTAATTCCTTAATTCCACAAATTTCTTTTCTTCTTAAGAGCTACTGCTGACTTTATGTTCTTTAGTCATTTAATTACTTCATGGAGGTGTCCTTAATGCACAGTTATGACCTTCCACACAATTGAGAGCTTTATTTATTCATAGAGTTGGCTGATTATATAGTTTTGGACATAAAGCATTCTTTTTTTAGTCTTGAACTAAAGAAATCTCCTTTTTAAGTCCCTATAGTTTTATTTTCTAACCCCTTTTTACTTTCTCCATTAAGTTTTTAGGTAGCAAGTTAATTAATCAAACAAGTTCAATTTTTTTTCTCCAGAAAAAAGACATGGAAATGCCATGCTGGAAAACAATGATGAAGTGGACTAAAAATTTATTTTTTTCTTCATAAAAATGAAAAGGAAGTGTAATATGGAAAAAAATGATAATGTGGATCGATAAAAGGTTAAACTATAGGAATAATTTTATTGGGCCCATTCCATATGTAGTATTTAATTGTGTAAATTATCAAATTTTAATGGTTAAATGCCTATTCATAGAAAAATGCAATTTTTTGTATTATTGTTGAACTAGGATCTCATAGCTAATATGGAGTAAAGGGGAAAAGAAGGCTTGCTACTGGGTGAGGACCAAAAGGTGCATATGGGGAGGGGGTTATGGAGAGAGGCTTATCAAAGAAAGCCTTTCACCAAATAACTTGGTTATTCATTGTCAGTTCTTGGTTTGCCAAAGAAAACTACCATTGTTGGAGAAGACACTAGTGAAGAATGAATTTTTTAATATTGTTTTTTTATAGTACGTTTGGTTAGAGAGAAACAGAACAGAGGGGAGGGGAGAAGAATGGAAGGATACGATATCCTTCCATTTTCCTCCCCTTCTACTCCTCTTATGTGGATAAGTCATTCAAGATAAAACACTAACAATAACACAAAATAACTAAAATTTTCTATGAATTCTACTTCAAACCCAAATCATGTGTTTCAATCCCAAACCAAGATTCAATTTTTCTCTAATTTTGATCTTTGCCCAAATGGGTAAGGGAAAAAGAAGGAAATCCTTTAATGGCTATGGCTATAGGCATTTAGTGAAGAAACACAAACAAAAATAAATGGCTAGGTGATCGATGAAGGGCAAGAACTTGTGCCATGGTGACAAACCAAGATCTATGTTCCTTGCTCAACCCTTGTGTGACAACAAGGAACCGAAGTCTAGGTTCCTCAACACTTAAGTAAAAGCAACCCTCAAGGTAGATGTGCTTCATGTAGAGGAGGGGGAGGAGGAGAGGGAGAGAGAGATTTGGTACATTGGCTTTGGTGAGGAGAGGCGAAGCAAGGTGACAAGGAAAAAGGAGTTCAATTGTTAAAAAAGAAGGTTGAAGGGCAAATTCATAATTTTCACTTTTATAATTAATTTTTATATTTAATTAATATGAATGGCCCTAATATATGTGAATATGTTTATTTAAATCAGTAATATTATAGTTACAATGCAATAAAGAATTGTAAGCTTACAGTCATGATGTGGCATTTAACAAGTATGATGCAATATTAAACAAGTGGTCAAAGCCCCAAATCCAACCCCCTAAATAAGAGAGTAGGGACAAATTTGCCTTAAAAAAAAAAAAGAGACAAATAATCTTTCCAAGTTATTGATCAAGATAAACCACGCATTATTTAACTTGTGATGCCATCACATGTTAGAAATTTGTTTGCCATCTAAGCCTACCTTTAATGGACAGCTAGTGTGTAATGACATTAGATGTTAATAATTAGTTATTTGTTTTAATTAAGGATTTAGAGAAATAATTTATCCCTATGTTTTTTTTAGGGTTAGATAGAGGTGGATTTGTCTCTGCTCTCCTATTTGGGAGGTGGATTTGAGGGTTTTGATCTAGACTAGTGGATGCATATAATATCACTGTTGACCTTTGAATGAAAAAAATCAATTATATAATGACACATTATATTGTAAGCTTATAATGTAATATTGTATTATAACTATAGCATTTTCATATTTAAATAAAATAACACATAATGTGCCACATCATTCTTTTATAACTAGATTTTCCATGTCATATATACAAAGAAGAAATCAAGTAATCTTGTTAATTAACACACTACATCAGCAAAAATTTAATGGAGGGACCAACAAGGGGCCAAAAAAAATTAAACTTAAGGGATCAAAAGGGATTTCTTTAGTTGAGAGATCAAAAAAGGCTTTGTATAAAAGTTGAGGGACCAAATGGGGTTTTAACCTTAATTTAACAACTGCTGCTTCTAATGAACTTGCCTCTCCATGGTATTGCAATAAATTATCAGAAGTGATGATATCAAAAAACTTCGTGATGTAGGGCGGTATTGTAATATCCGCCCGAATGAAATGCCGACAAATGTCGCAGATTTGATGAGACGTGAATGCCAAGCACCTTCATTCAAAGAAATGGTTGCCAAAAACAGGAATGCTAATGCAAATTGCTAATTTAAAGGAAAATACAGTATCAGAGTCATGATCATTTGGAGTGTGATATATGTACACGTTGATTCTATCATGTATACGTTTTAGGAAAAAAAATTCAAAACACAGAAGAAAAAAAGTTCAAAGTTTTAAACGCGCATCATTAATTTCGTTTTTTTATTTTACCCCTACAAACCAAATGTGTCATTAATGCCTTGCTAAGGCTCAATCCCCTACATTCCTATAATAGAATTCTTTCTTCCGAGAGGCGTTTCAAATAATTAAAAAGTCAACATTCTATATATTAAAGATCTTAACTTAAAATTTTAAAATAAATAAAAATGAATTAAAAATATAAATTTTTTTTTTTATCTAACTCATCATTAAATGTATAAAAATAATAGTAAAATGCACTTTACAGCGGTCCCAATTATGGAGGACAGCTCCATATTTAAGGGACTCCTCCCTTGTCTATGGTTAGTTATGTGTAATCCATTATATTCCGCACAACATTTCTATTACAATAGTTAGAGTCGTTACACGTTTTCTTAGTCCGCGTTCAACTAGAAATAAATGAAAGGGAAAAAGTATTCTAAGAACTTGCTGAATACGTTTACATTTTGATATAAAGATTTCAAATGGCATTCAACCCATGCTCTTGCATCAATGAACAAAAAAGAGTTTATACTACAAAAAAACAAACTCAGCATCATATTTCCAATTTAAAAAAAGAAAAAAAAGAGGAAAACACAGAATCCCCAGCAATTTAGAAGCTTAGAAGAAAAAGCAATCAAGGCAGCTCGTTGACGCAAAATAAAAGCCACCCTTTTAAGGGGTTTTCTAATCTTGTGGCACCCACACCATGGATGTTAGAGATAAGGAACTAAAGCAACCAAAGTAACTGAGAAAAACAAAGATGTTTACTAGAAAGCGAAGATAGAACCAGTACTTCCTATAGAATTAACTATATCCATCAGGGAGGAAAAGCTTGAATACAATATTTACAGGACTGTGTTAATGTGAAGTGCTTTAAGCAATGAAGTAGCCATCTGCTTCACCAAAACTTGGCCTCCAGAACGCTGCCCATCTCTGCGTTCCTCAATTAAATTCTGAAGTTTTTGTGGTAGATCATTCTCCACAATCAATTGCTTTGGTCGTGGGTGGTGCTCATAAACAGACTGCCACAACAAAAATTACTTTGAGCTCTTCATGGTGATCAGTGGGCAATATTTAGGTAAGCCATCTATTACAAACTAAATAGTGATATTCATTGTAGGAAAATTGAAAAATCAAAACTCAACAAAGTCTTCCCGTTTTTAGGCCTGAACTCAATTCAAAATACAAGATCAAGAAGATACCATGTTTGGCAACTTGTTTTTCTCCTAAAACAATCCCAGAAACCATGTGAATACAGAAAGTATTACGCACAACAGCGCCAACAAAAGATCACTTTGTTGTTGGACATACTCTTTATAACCATAGACTAGCAACAGAACTTCACAAGAATCAACTAGTTAATCACACCAAAAGAACAACATTTTCAACCTAAATGACTACCACTGTAATTTGCTTCCCAGATTACTTAACTGCAGCTAGGATTAAAAATTAGAAGCTTCCTTGTGGGGAAAAAAAACTATTTTATCAGATATACAAATTAATAATTTCCCAATTCTATTGGAGTGTAAAGTAGGCAATCAAGGAAAAAAAGGGGGAGAGAAAAAGGAAAGGAAAGGAAGTGTCCCTGACCTTAATTAGTTTAAGAAGATTAAGACGAGCTATAGCATCTTGATGATCCAACCTTGCAATGAGCAATGGTGTTAAACCATTTACAGCTAACGTTGTATTTATTCGGGATGATTTCCTGCATTGGATAAATAAACACTATAAGTTAGAAATTGAAGGAACAAACATGCTGTGTTAAGAAAATGAATGGAATTTTTTGACAATTAAATGGTCACCAGCTCAAGCAATTCTTATGGCCAATGACAACAGTCTATTGTGAAGAAGAAATTTCATGGAGCATTTAAGCGTCAATGCAGAATCTAATCAATCAATATAATATTATTAAAAGGTAACAAGAGTACATACGTGATAATTTTCAAGAATGGTTCCAATATGTGCTCAAAGAATTGCTCTGGACAGCACTGGAAAAACTTAACCAATTTCTGAACTGCTTCTTTCTTCAGCAATGCTTGTTCCACCTTGCGATTGTCATTGTCATGAGCCAAGCAAACAGCTATTGAATCTAATGCTGTTACAGACCAGACCTCATCATCAAGTAGGCTCAGGTATACATCCAACCCGCCATGGGCCCTCAGTTGTTCCCTTGAATTACGTGATGCATGGGCCATGTCGCACAATAGTGGCAACGCATATTGTTTCAGAGGAGAATCTGATATTATAAAGTTCATTAAGTGTGGAATTATTCCATTTTCTGCTGCTTGCTCCTGTCTCCTCTTATTTATTTTGCAGAGATTGAAAAGTGCATGAAGAACCTGCAGAGAACAAAGTTTACAACAAACAACACAAAATGTTACTTGGAATATGGCTTCAATCATAAAAAATAAACTACCATTGGCAAAAGAGCAAGCAATCAACCTCATTTAGTTTAAGTGATATTCGGATAATATAAGCACAAAACAAAGACAGGTGAATCAAAAGGCAAGAAGTTACTGTTGACCTTCCAATTGAGGTCTTTTATCGTTTTTTTTAAAAATAAATAAATGAAATGAAAGGATTTAAAATAAGAGAGGAGGAACAGCCATTACTGACAAGGAAGAAAGGAAACAGGATTTGCCTAGTCCAAATCAGTGTTCTACAAGTAAAATGAAGTTTTGTTTTATTTTATTTTATTTTTTCAGATCAACTTTATTTGCATTCAGCTCTAAACTCCAAAAGATGATCGACTGAAAAGAATAAAGCAATAAGGCTTTTCAAATGTGAAATAATGCTATCATATGATCCAAAATCCAAATACCCTTCTTTATCAATTAACATTACACTACAGATGGTTAAATCTGGAGATAACTAACATAGAGAAAAGGAGATGGAATACACAAAAACAATAAAATTGTAAAGACAAATACGTTGCACAGAAGAAATATAATAAATTTTAAACTGAAAGAGATTCACTTGTAAGTGTAAATTCATTATATATAGTCAAAACTGAGAACTAGGGATTACAAACCTCATGATGTATTTGAGATACAAGAGGTCCATCTTTGAGTTCAAGATTTGGAATCAAATACTTAATTGCATCTGCCCGCTGAAGATTCTCCAAGCAATTTGGGTCGGTGGATAAGTAATTAATACACTTCAAAGTCTACATAAAAACTAATTTGTGAGTATAAATCATATAAATGTAAGAAACAGGCTAAGGAAATAAAGTTGACAGCAAAATTATTTCACACACCTTTAAAAGAATAGGAGGTTCAATACGATTGAACATCTGAAAAAGACGGCTAAGCAAACTTTGGCTACACATGTATGATTTGACAGTTGTATCTGCTTGAGCAAACTCAAGCAGAAGGTCTGCCACCTTCTCCAAGTATTCCTTAGCAACATCTGTGTTCATTGTTGATACCATGTGGGCAAGTAATCCAGATGATGTTGCACTTCCAGGTCTAGCATTTAAAACACCTGAACCAGATAGCACACCTGACGCTGTCTGTGACGCCATACCAGATGAAGAAGCTGCTCCCTCGGTATATGTCACTTGCCCAACCTTCTTATTCACAGTTTTATGAGAAATTCTCGGCATTGAATCAAGATTTCCATTTTCCCTTCCATGAGCAGAGACCTCTGAAACCATAAAGAAATCAGATGCCCTCAAATAAATAACATGTTTCCCTCAAATAAATAATATGTTTTCCTTTATTAGAGCAACCAAACATAAATGCTACTTTAGCTACAACAACCACAAAAGAAAAAGTAAACATGCATATATTCATACATGCATGCATACATATATGTGCGGGTGCATACCAAACATTTTTTTTTTCAAAGTGAAAAACTTATCCCTTTTTTGAAATTTAAAATAACAGTAGGCTGAAGTAAACCAAAGTTACTGCATTAAATTCCATAGCTTAAATCTGGTTAGCATTCTTTTTCACCCTCCTTTCTCTATTATCTTCTCTCTCTTCCTTTCCTCCTTTCTCCTCTCTCCTTTTCTCAGTCTCCTCTGTCATTAGTTTGGTCCTGTGAGGGCATACTGTGGGTGCAGCTTGTACTCCCAACACTTCAGCAACTGCTTAACTGAAGCTGAAGAGCTAAAATTGCATGTTTTTCATTACCACAGGAAGCATAAAATCTAGGTATAATTCAAGGAAACCTGAGTCTAACGAAAATTTGGTTAACCTGACCAACAGTCTTTATTAAATTGTAATCAATATAAAACTTAAGAGCTGTACTTTTTTGACAAATTGAGGGGCTAGTTTGCTTGCTTCCCCACCCCCCCCCCCCCCCCCAAAAAAAAGGAGAAAACAAAAAACAATAACAATAACAAAAAGTTAATTATTTCCTTCAGCAATAGACAAGTAAATCAGATGAAAATAGGAGATAAAGAAGTTATAAAATAGACATGAATGCAAGACCTTCATATAGCTAGTGGCAAACCTTCCAAACCAAAGAGATATAAACTACACTAAAGGTTGAGGGCAAAATTTTAATTTCCTAAAGTTGGGTAAACATACCATTATATATGACCCCAATACCGCTAATAACCCCATAAACTGTACATAATAACTTATACCACTTTGTATAAAGGGGAAAATGTGCCAATAAATAGTTTCTTTTTTTTTTTGATCAGTGAGCCAATGAATGGTAATACCTGCAAATTCTCTCATCAAGAAGTCCAGTTCACCATTGGTTTTCTTTTCATTAGAAGCATGTAATAGAGGAAGTATGCTTTCATGTCTCTCAAGTCCCGGAAGGTGGCGCATAAATTCCAACTGACCAGAGAACCGTTTGGAAGGGGGTTCCTTCTCCAACAAGCTAAGCAGAGGTCGAACTTGATCAGACTGTGTAGTTACTGAAGTAGGATACCCATTTGATGCAGCTTCTATCATTTTAGAGGGCCTGTCTACAGATAATCTGTGCACAGAGGACTCCTTTGTTGCTAAATTTGCAACTTTATTTAAGGATGTTGGATCTGATAATTTGGAACCAATGGAGATATCCAATGCTACATTGCTAGATTGAGGTCTATCATTATCAATAGATATGGAATGAGAATCTGCTAAATTGCCATCAGACCTCTGGGAATGTGAAGTCGAAGCCCGTGAAGGTTCTTGCACTCCAGTTGAGAAGGAAATAGACTGATCAGCCAAAGACACTGGTGGCTCAAACAGAGGAAAACTAGAATCCTGATGACCCGAGCGTTGTCGTTGAAATGAACCATCTCCTGTATATCCACCCCCAACTGATGCCAGCCGAGCTGCCTCATTCAAGCTATAAAGAGTATTTATAAGCCTAAGCAGTATCCCATTCTTTGCAGCTATCCTGCAGAAATCATTCCTCGGGGTTGATCGTTGAAGCTTAAAGACCTGCCACATGCCATCAATAGCTAGATGAGCCATTTCCCTGGACAAAGGAGTTGATCAGTCTTTTGAGGATAAGAGGCCAAGATCAAAGTAATAGATGCACGTGTACAAATAAAAAAGGAGGCAGTCGGGGTCAAAGAAGGTTGCTGATGGCCGGTTGATAGAAAATAGACTCTAGATCAACTGAGGAAAATATTCAAAATTCTATTCTACCAAAAAATACAAAAATCAATAGTTATTACCGATCAAAATGTACAATTATCAACATAACAGGTTTACATTTAGCTAAATGAATGCAGCCCCACACACACACACACACACACAAAAAGCCTTCTAGGACTCAGGACAAATTTCCAGGCATCTTTGCACTAGTACCCTAAAAGGGGGGAGGTGATTTGGAGTTCTGAAGTTTTCCTGCTTTTTGCAACCACCAAGAGAAAATTGAAAGAAAGAGGGGTAGAATAGTTCACACAAGGATTCTATAGAGGTTTGGTCCATCCACTTCGCACCTAACTCTCTACCTTCACTTATCTAGCTAAGGATTTCTACCTTGCTCTCCACTACCAAGGGTGATTTAAAGGAGCCATTCAATCCTTTTTTATAAGGGTTTCAACCTCACACCCCTTACAATGTAATCCCAACAATCCTCAATTAGAATCACTCTTGAAGAATTTATCACACCTACAAAGGTCTCTCAATGAATACAAGAAGAGGATTTCAAGTAAAGGCTCAAATAATCAAATACACAAGTTAAAGCTCAAAGAAGATGAAGTAATCCATGACAGCACAAAGATGGTTGGTAGATCTCTTTCAAGTCTCTAAACCTTTATAATTGTGTTTACCAATGATATTTATAATCCTTCAGTTGAATTTAGCTGTTTCTATCTGTTGGAGACCATGAAATGCAATATAGAGCTTTAGAAATTCAAAAAAGATCACTTCAACTTTTGGGAGCCAGCACCCCTAATGTTTTACTCATTTTCAAGCTTTAGAGATGGCTTCAACTTTTGGGAGCTGACTACCATTTCAATATTTTGGTTTTGGCATGTTGAATCATAACCATCGGATGTAGAATGCAGAATCAAAGGTCTGGAGCTGACTTAAAACTTTCTAGAGCTGGCTCTACTTGAGCTTTCACAAATTACCCATTTTAATCTAAGTGGAGCCAGCTATGCTGGAATTTTGTAGTTTTTGCCACATTCATTCCACTTGTTTCACATCCATTTAACATCAATTCTACCATATTCATTCACTAGTTTCACACCCATTTAACATCAATTCTACACACTTTAACATGTTGAATACATTTTAAGTGTTTTGGAATCATCAAAATCATGGTTACAATCCGTTACTATTATATAGGGTCTTATAGAAGTTCCCATCAATTTAATGTATTCTTATCTTTTTGATTAACTGGAGATGTATTCCTGGTATAAAACTTCAAAGAGACTAGTTTGCTCCCTCCATATATTTTTAAGTATTACTATTGACTTTCTGTTTGCCTCCCAATATCATTCTTCTTTCCTCTGTCCCTTTATACTCATATTTTGGTGCTTTCTTGAACTATTTCCACAAGGCCATATTTCTTAGTCCATGTCTCCAAGACCTATCCTCCTTTCATAACCCTAGCTTCCTGTCTCTAAATATTCCAGCAGTATAAGTTTGACATTAGGACATTTCAGCCATTTTGGCCCTTAAAAGGTAGCATTTTTATCCATAAACTTCCTTTACTCAAAAGCTTATTATCCTAAAATTTAAGCCATTTTTCAAACACCAAATATGAAAAGTGACAACCAGCAGGTTACTTAAATTGGACCAACATTATCATGCTTGAACCTCCATTTCAGTAAAATCAAGTCTGGTTAATATGATGGCTAGCTCCAAAAATAAAAACTAGACATCAATAGGCCACAATTTTTCCCATGCTTAGTTTAGCAAATCTTATATGAAGGTCAGTCCTACGATTACATCATCCTGAAATCATTACTACTTTCAGATTTTATTGAAATCCCTTTTGAAATGAAGTGAACCATTTTTGAGCTTTTAATATTTTGAAATCCACAAACCTGTATTTTGCATAATCAGCCTCTAAAAAGCCCACCAAAATTGGTATTCCACGGCATGCTATGAACATTTGCAATGTCAAAGAGCTGCACAAGAAAAATTATATTTTCAACACATAGCTCCTTCCTCACCAATGAAGTGAAATGATACAACTAAGTGAAAGGAGAAAACTCTGAACCTTGACTGACAAAGTTGCTGCAAGAAATATGCTGCCTCCATTCGAACTTCTCGAGGACGATCAGGCCCCGCAAAACTCATTACAACAGGGATCTGTTAATAAACCTTGGAATTAGTATAACATCCTTTAAACTTGACCAACATTATAGACTACAATGATCTGGAATACAACTTGGAAGGAGATAAGCCAGTCTATCTCCCAAAAAGCTCACCAGGGATCTATTATTTATCTTGGAATTAGTAAAACATATTCTAAACTGCCCAACATTATATACTACAATGATCCAGTATACAACTTGGAAGGAAATAAGAAGACCATCTCTGTCACACAGATGATCAGATTTATTAAAGAAATGCTGCATACATACAGATTTGTGAATGATAACTTTTATGTCTATGAACTTGTTCTAGAACCCAAATGTTGAACTAGGGGCTCCTCCAAAGTCATGGCATTAGCTTACTGAATGATGTCTTGACTTCCATACTAACACCTTTAGGGCCATGTAAAGGATTTACCCACACAATTATCTAGTTTATATTAAATTAGGTAGCTGCAGCAGCTACAGAGTTAGATGCTCAAGGAACCAGAAAGCTTTGCCAGCATAGGTCTTTTAAAGTTGGCACTAAGCAGGCACAACCAATTGTTTAATGCCTCAGGCAAATTGTGTCCATAAATCTGCTTCCCTCAAAAGTTCAAAAAAATAAATAAATAAAGGAAAAAAAATTGAAGGGCAATAGCACTTACCAAGCCAACAAGACAAGCATTCTCCTGGAAATCAGTGTTATCTTTTACAATATGATTAATAAGTTGAAGCACTGAACATATAACCTGCAATAGGGTAGATTGATATCAATACTTAGCATTTACAAATGCTAATCGCTAAGTTGCTAACATTTCTAAGAACTTTAATATTTCTCTTTTGATTTTCTGCTCCTTCTGCTTTTGGAGGAGGGGTAGTTAAGTGATGAAATTGGATTATTGGAAAGGCCTTCTAGTTGACATACACGAGTTCTTGGAACATCAAGCAATTCCAATAGAGGAAGCAAACCATGCTGGGTAATGAAAGCAATCTTCTGTTCAGGGCGCTGGTGGCAGATATGCACAAGTTTCTGACAGGCAGACACAATTGCTTCCTCTGACTCCTCTGGTCTTAATGAACCAATTAATCTGCTAAATTCAACAGCCTATCAAGAAAAAATGAAACAAGCTTTCCATTGTCAGTAAGAAGAATGATATAACAAGGATCTAAATAAGCCATTTAACAGCATCCCAGTTTACAGTTCAAGATCTGTCCACCAACACATGATAAAATGAAGCATTCATGAAAGGCTCAAAGAGGAGTTCAAGACATAAAGACCAAGGTCTTGCTCCTTTTAATCAATTGGAATCCCCAATACCACATCAAGATGACTAACAATAAGATTTAAGAAAATTAAAGACATGCCACAAAAGCAAAACATAGATAAGGTAAAGACAATAAAACAAAATCCCAGATGTATGCTATAAAAGATCATGGTTATATCTGTTGCTAACTGCTACACTTTCCATTTCTTTCAGCTCAAAGGTAACCGACAACTTGGACTGGACTATGGCAGCTTTCACCTGAATCATGTAAGATTGGAACTTGTTCAATTTTCAAATTTCCTTTCATTAGCAGGACTTTCAGCACAAAGGATATTAGAGAGCATAGTTTGGTTGCAAGCCTTAAGAACCTGTTCAAAGTAATCTTCCATACTACTTTTCCATATGTCACATCACAGCAAAACGATGCAGGACAGACAAGAGAAGACAGAGATAAATAGAGAGAGAAAATAGAGGAAAATACAAAATAGAAAGTGAATTCAGAGGCAAAGGAATGAGAAATAGAAGAACTAGTGCAGAGGAACATTGAGAATTATTAGATGAGAAATCTTATACAATTCACCAAAAATCAGCAACACATCAGACCTAATCAGTACATTCAGAAACTAAAAGTACTTACGTTACGTTAGTGCAACAAAATGTTGGAAATTAATGTTCAGCACATAATTTGAAAGAAACACAGAAACAAGCAGAATTCATTGCCCAACCAAGAGAAGGAAATTAAATAAGATGCTCAATCACAAACAAGGAAGAAATCAATCAAGGCTTCTTCTGGTAGGAAACACTAGGTACCTGGTGTGGAAACAGGTTTTCAGCAGGCAATTTATCTTCAAAAACCTGCCACACAAAAGAATAGATAGAAACAAAAATGCTGGGGTGGTCAATTTCTCAAAGTCATTAGTGTGTTAAATACTCTTAGGTTTACTAAACCATCAACATCAGATACTTCAAACATACCAAATTATCAATGTCAATTACATCATCCTTCAAAACACCCATCATCAAGCGTAAAAGGTTACCGCCACCATTTGACTGCCCCATTTCATCCTCCATTTGTTTCTTGGCGATTGTGTCCCTCAACTTTTTAGCCAGGTCATTTTTCCCAACATCAGTTACATTGCCTTGGTTCACTTGGGATGTGGATGCAGATGTTGAAGCTTCAGCTGTTCTTTCCTCTAGGTTTTTATCCAAAGGATGAAATAAGTCATCTAAGGAAGCATCTCCAGGTGTATCCATAAATCTACTCAACTCATTCCCACCCAATGACACTGGAGATTTGGTACTCTTCAAAAGTGAAATTAAATTTGTAAGATTCTCCTATTTATACACTAGACAACTATTCTGGAAATAAAAATAAATAAATAAATAAAATAAAGGAAAAAAAGGTGAGTGCACAGTGCACATATAATATTCAGAAGACAGATTATAACAACAAACGGTCTTAAGGAGATCAGATATTAGAGAAAAACAAAAAGACTGACAAAATTTTCAAAAGATACTAAGGACCATGAAGAAATATCCAACATTATTTGAAAGGCCATTTCTATTTCTATTAATCTGATCCAAACTACTGCACAAAACAGAACAATAGCCCTCAAATCTCCCATTAAATCAGATTTGAAGTTTGAAAGCTTTGCATGAATCACCAGCTAATCAGTTTCTAAACATTATTAAAATCCAAAACAACAGCAGACTTGTTCTTTCAGTTAATACATAAAAAAGATACAGAAATTCATCAAGATCACTAGTTTAGATACCAAACCTTGAAGATTACTTCATTTTACCAAATGCAAGTACACACAGAGAGACAACACATGCACATGTTAAAAGAAAACAACATGGTGTTAAAATGGCCCAAAGAACTTCAGCATTTTCTTACACTTGCCACTCCTAAGAAAATTTCTGAGAAAATGCATCAGGTAAAAACCAAGGGGAAAATGTAAAAATTCATAACCAGAACCTAACTAATTACTTGATTAAAAACCAAACAGCTCCTAAAGTTTTACCTTTCGCAGATTAGTATCTGGAGTTCTGGGTCCTAAGCCAGATGATTTACTTTCAACACTGATCAAACTACCTTTGCCTCCAAGATTTTCATCCACAGGCTTTGTTCTTGATTCAGGGGATCCAACTTCACCATTCATCAGTATACCATCCGGGTCACCTGGATGTGCCAGCTCAATTGCATCTGTGGCAGTCACTAGCACTTCCTTCGCTGATAATCTATAAGAACCAGCCTGCAATAATGACTTCTCAAGAATGGCTAATGTGGGAACTTGATCTGACAGAGGATCATCTTCTAAATCACCAGTTCTCTCTGCAACCTTATAATTATTTGCAGAGTGTTCATTATCATATTTGCTTGTATCAGTGACATCAACTGATAATAGCGCCCTTCTGGAGGCCTGGAAATCAAAATACTCTTAAGTCTTAATATAATACAACCAGAATTCTGTTGCTTCAAGGAACTTCAAAATTTTTCATTGTTTATTTTCATAAATAATATATTGCTGTAATGTTTTCTTCACAGTCAGATTAAAGATGAAAAGGTTCTCACAGTTCCTGATGTCTCTCCTGTCTCCACAGGAATACTTTCTCCAGCAATTTGATTATCTCCATTAGAACTTTCTGCATCTGCTGCACAATATTCCTTTATACTTCTGCCAAACAGATAAGGAATAGGAAAAAAATTTCCTCTTTCAGCAATTCACCATGAAACAACAAGAAAGATGGAGTAAATAGAGTGGTAAAAGAAGCACAATTGTAAATTCTCCAGAGCATTGAATCATCAATGTAAAATTACAAATTACTTAACCATTTTTTCAAATAACTTGAAAAAATTGACTAATTGATCAAGACCAGACTCCATATTGTAAAGATTCAATGAGGTCAAGTGCAATCCCCTGTCCTTCCATAATTTGAATAGGATTTTAGGTCCCTAACTGCACTCTTGAGTCATGAACCTAACTGTAAGAATCTGAAAGTTGGTATTTGTACAGCCAACTTTAAGAAACTTCTAAGTGTGTTTTAATTGCTAATGGCACTAACAATGCCAGAGCTTAAGAAGGCAGAAACTCACCAAATTCCACTAAGCTATATTAAGTTTGTAATGTCAGTCAAAGAACACTGCCGTTCTCTCTTTCTCACTTGCAACCGAGGAAGAAAGAAGACAGATCAAGTAGTTTTCTGAGTTGAAGAATTCAAGAGAATTCATCAAGTTCAGTTGCTTGTGCATCCAGTGTTGTCTGTCATAAGTGTAAATTATGGTTTGAAAGCTAAAATGGTGTAAAAAGAGAAAAACTTGAGTATAATGAATAAAATGAATGTAGACAGAGATTTAGCTTGATATAATGTGTGTTCAACATACAATTGAATCTGATGCTAGTGTTTTGTGAATTCATGAGTTACTAACTACTACAGTTTCACTATGTTAACTTTAGCGCTCTGAAGCATGTGAATTAAGTTCTGATTATGAGAGTTATAAAATGCCCAAGTCTGATTAAAAATTCTATTTGAAGTTTACATGCATCTGTTTAATCTATGTCTGTGTAAATGCCAAAATATGCCTAAGGACAGAACATGTTATGCATGTTGTGTAAATATTTGTTAAGTTATGCATGCTGTTTGTAAGGAAACTATGGAAGTATTGGACATAAGCTCATGGTTTAGGTTATTAGCAATTTAGGGTGTTTATGGGCCTCCTATGAAGAATTAGTGTACCTCTACACAATAGGCATGTGCCAAGACTAGCTCGAGCACTAATGTGAGTGCATGGATATTCAGTGGACTCCATAGCCTATGATTGCTTATTATGTATTATGCCATGTTTATTATCTGTTTATGCCTGAAGTCTATCAAGAATTACTCAGCATGCAAATCTGTTATGCTTATGCTAAGGCTATGCCTATGCAATGTCAAGTTTGTTAAGTTATATCCCTATTATAGTTCTGATACATTAACTGTGTAGTTCAGTTTAGCCTAATTGTTTGCTCATGTAAAGCCTGTTATGAAGTGTGCTATGCTATGCCTATATATGGTCTAAGTGTTAAGGGCTATGGACTTAATCTCTAAGAACTCTATACATGAACTTAAGAAACTTGTTAAGTTATATGATTTAATTGGTTAAGACCTAATGGTTTGAGTTTATAGCTTAGGTCTATAACTTATACTTAGTCTATAACTTATACTTACTAAGCTTCCTAAGCTCACTCTATTTTTCTCAACCCCATTTTAGATGATTAGAAAGAAGTAACTGTGGTCCTCAAAGCTTTTAGACTTCCTACATTGTGAGAAAGTCTACCTACATATTAAGGCAAAACTGTATTTAACTAAACAGAACTCTGGCTTTCTGATTTTTAATGCATTTTTTGTAACCAAGCCATACCATGTCTGTAAGTAATTTTTTTGTTTAACAAGCTGTGTTTACAAGTCATATCTATGAATAGCTTTTGAAACTCAATGTTTTAAAAAAGTTATCTTAGGTTAACAACAGATTTATTACCAAGTTTCAAGGATTAATACTATGCATATTTTTGAACTCCCATCTTCAGCTTCATTAGTTTAAAAACTTTTTGATTTAAACCTAAATTCTAAATGCATGCATGCTAAGTTTGTTAAAGAGAACACATACCTTGTAATCCATAAGGACTGTAGAGGGCGGGATGTGACAAAAGAGAGAGGAAAAAAAAAAAAAAACCAAAGGAATTGCATTGTTTATCAATTTACATCAAAGTTCACAACATTGTACACTCTGATCCAATTTAGTTGTCCCACTTACTAAATTTGTGTGTTGCAATTTAGTTGTCTTGCTTTCTATTTATATGAGACATTAAACGCTATCTGGTTCATTTATAAAGATGATAAAACTTTTATTAGCAGTAAATGTGTTATCTTAACACCTAACTATGGAGTTTTAATCAATCCCTAAATTGTCTAGGTATTTGTGAAGTCAAAGGAGGGACAACTAAAATGGAATAGAGGAAGTAGCAGTCAGAACCGATATAGTAACATTACAACATTATCTGCATGGATGACTCAAATGGCAGGGAAATGTTTTAATTTTGAGATGTTTTCTGTAATAACGTAAACTTTCTGAAATTTAAGTATCCCTGGTGTTCCATTTTTTATACAGATGAATTAAATTGACTGATAAAAAATATAAAAAAAAAAAAAATTACATGGTTAGTTAATTTGAGTCAGAAAACAAGAAATTTCTACTCTCTGCTGCTTTGAAATTTAAGTCTTGGTAAACTAGGACAAAGGCACATAGTACATAAACTGAAAGCTAAGCAGCTCCAAGACAGAATATTATGAGGAATGAATATTCTCGTGAGCACCGAAGTAAATATCTGGAAAGGTTAAAGCATATAGAAGACTTTCATAAGTATCCCATGCATGATTAAAAACCCAACCTACAATAGCACATGTTTTGCAAATTAAAAGGAAATACAGAACTTTACACAGAACTGATCATTCAGAATCATAACCATTAAAGATCCAGATCCAGATCAGCTATCTCATGTGATAGCTGTCTACAATTAAAAAGTGCATGAAAATAAATATCAAAGTATAAATAATATTCTTGAGCATGAAAATAAATATCAAAGTATAAATAATATTTTGATACCTAATTTTTCCACTATGGCGAGGAGTAGATTGCAAACCCGGCCTACAATTCTGTATCCAAGGGTGAGAAAGCAGAGTCTTCGCGTCGGGCCTCTGTCTAGCATCCTGAAAACAATTAAATAAAATATGATATTAGAAAGCTACAAATTACCAGTAAATTCAACATTGCAAATGGACAATAAAAGGTGGATGGCAGTTCAACAAAATGAAATGACTTCACAACCATCACCATTTTTTATTTTGTGACTTGTCTATCATGATCCAGATAGATCCTGAAAGGCAACCCATGGATCACAAGGAGCAAGTGTGCAAGGCCCTGTGACCTTCAATTGATCCCACAAAAATAATCATTATATTTAAGCTGGGTGCAAAAGAACACCATATGTTATTTTATGTTACTTAAACTGCATAACAAAGAAAATATATTTTCTATGAACCAAGTGTGAAGAGACTTAAGTCATGCATTCCTTTCTTGCAGCTTAAAAACCCTGATATTTAATTTCTAGATTGAATTATGAATTCTCAAGGAAATGTGGGTCTGAGCAGGCTGCATGCAAGCAAAAGAGAGATGGCTTAGGTAATACTGTGGACAAGTCCCACTGTTCTAGTTGAAAAATAATGTAAGATTTCCTTTACCAAGTTCAGATGAATTATCTCTTCCTTGGAAGCAGTTTACGGTGGAAATATCATTTTTTGGGGTTGGGGGGGGTGGGGGGCGCGGGGTGGGAGGAGAATAAAAAATGTTTCCATTAACCAAACCCAAATGGGCAATTACACTTGGTACCAGGCAGACCTGGACAATTCCAAATTTAGGGTGGTAACATCATATCAGAACATTTGAGTCCTAGGAATTTGTCTACGCAATAGCACCATTCTAAGAACTCCATTTGATGCAGCAAACATTAAGCGATTTCCATTTGACCTCCATGGTTTGTGTTAAGAAATGTAAAGATATTTAGGAATCAATTACATTAAGTGACAGATTTAATTAAGGTTATAGATCTTAAATTTCTAATTTCACATAATAGGTACCTTAAAGCCTACATAAAAAGGCTCTTCTATGTAGGGGTTTATAACTCTAAATAATAGAACATTGTAGGCCCATTTGGTATAACGGTTTGGGGGTAGCTGTTAGTGGTTTTGCCCAAACCACTGAAGGATAGGCATTCAGTAAAATTGTTTATTTTTAAACTGCTACAAACTAGTTATTTGGTAAAACTATTGATTTAGAGATTCAGGACTAGCAAATGGCAACTAGGGTACGAACCACTAGTGAATTGAAAAAGGTAGCTTTTTGTACCAAACCACTAAAGGATTGAAATTTTTTAATTTTATTGAAAATTTTATCCATTTTAATGATTCAATTTTTTGCCAGCATTTATGATTACCAATTGTACAATTGGTTTTAACTTCGTTTTTTCACTTTAACAATATTAAGTGATTATTATTTTTTTATTTTTTAGATTAACTTATCATTAAAAAAAAATTATCATAGGTTAATAAACAAGATTTGCTATTTCAAAAAAAAATAATGAAAAGTTTTTTTTGCCTTTAATTAAAAGTAATATAATTTTTTCCTTGTTAAAATAAAAATGAGTGTGTGATTCACACTTGCATGTTTTATTTTATTTTTATTTATTTTCTTATTGATTTTATAAATTTAATAATAGAAAATATAAAAAGAAAAAAAAAATACACTTAACATGCTCTTAAAGATGCCCTTATTAGTCATTTAATGTCAAACAACAACTGCTAACCATTATATATCAAAAAGGTTACACCAATCAACATTCTCTAACTGTCACCCATTACTGCTATCCAATACCTGTCACCTGTTGCTATTATCTACCATCCATTGGATTTTGCCGCTATAGCAAACAAATAATATGTCTTTCTTTCAGTTTTCCTAATTGCATTCCCTTAGTTTAGTTTTCTTAACATAATATTAAAGCCTTAACATGGTACAAGATTCATCAGGTACCACAATTTACTATGTTCTTGTTTTTAGTTATTTTAAGGGAAAAAATAAAAAATAAAAGGTTGTTCATTCTTAGGGTTTTGTGGGATGTTTCTTCTCCATTCTATGTTGGGGGATCAGCTTTTTCATCCATGTGCTTCAGGTATTAGGTTCAATTATTTCTCATTTGGTCTTGGACTCTTGGTCTTAATCTAGCAGGTCATGTTCCCTCTTAGTTTGTTGGTTTGATTATAGAATTTCAAAACCATAGGTGCCTCTTACTGCCTGTAGCAATACAAGGGTGGCAGATGTCGATTGGAATACCTGTTTTTTGGTTATAATTACCTCTTGTTGTTTAGCATTAAATAATGAAATTGAACATATCTTTACTTATTTTTAAATAGAAGGCAAAACCAAACTTCTCAATTTCTTATTTTTTAATCATGGATTAGCAAATTTGTTTAAGAAAAAAATTCACTTATGAGCACAGACAAAAAAATGTTACTTTAAAATTTAGGGGGAAAACATAATTTAAATATGCAATTTTGTCAAAAAAAAAAAATAGAAAAACTCCAATCCACTAGCAATTTTGTACAAAAAGTTATCAAGGGTAATTTTTCTAATCCACTAGGAGATTGGGTTCTAACTGCACATCATAAACCACTAGCTAAAAAATTTTACCAAATACCTAGAGCACAGCAGTTTCATCCAAACCTTTAACCGATACTCATAAACCTTTGCAACAAATTGGCCCTTAAACCAATGGAACTCAGAGCAATTATAGCAATAATTAAAGGCAAAATCTCTCAAAAAAATAAAATAAAATAAAGTAAAGTAAAGGCATAATAGGTATCTCCCACCTTACCTTCTTAAAGCACTGACGCAGAAAGTCAGTAATGTCTGGAGACAGCCTATCAGGTATCGGGGGATGCTCATCCTGCAGAAGATAACCCCCCCACCCCACCCAAAAAAAAAAAAAAAAAAAAAAAAAAAACAGAAGTTGTGAACAAGAGTATTCAATAACATTTATATATTTACATTTACACTAGATTGCAAGGTACTCAATTAATAGTTCTGAAAAGAAAATAATTATTATATCATTTAAAGAGAATATCAAATGATGCAACCTTCTCCATCACTACAGTATCCAATTGGTTGACAAGAGAGGATGGAAGGAAAACAATTGATTTGAAACTCACTAAGGAAATGATTTCTAGCTGATGCTTATTGACTGATTATTATAACTGCAAAGGTATATTATTGAACAGACCTGAACAATACGAAATAGAGCTGGCATAGGCTGCAAATCATAGTAAGGTGGCACACATGTGAGAAGTTCAATCACAGTACATCCAACACTCCAGATATCAGATGCAGCACAAACACCAGACATTTCAATCACCTGAAACATGCTACAGGTTCTGCATAAGTAAAACCATGAAGTGCCCTTTCACCTCAAGCATCGCACTTAAGAAGTAGGGGAGATAAAATGTATCAAAATCATCAAATATAATACCAGAAAAATTATGCATCAAGGTTATTCTCAACTGCCACGCTATGAATATTAGTCAGACCTAAGTTTACAAAAATGTGTCAAAACTGAATTACACAAATAGTACCTCTGGGGCCATCCAGTACGGCGTTCCAACAACCGAATGCGTGTTAACATCAGCCTCAGTTAGTTTTGTAGCAACACCAAAATCCGCAAGTTTCACAAGACCCTAAAAGAAAAATTATGGATAAAGAATTTCACATAAATAACCAAGAAAATCCACATAAAGCAAAGCAAGAAGGGAAAATAGTATAGAAATCATAATGACCCTGCCCAAACATGAAATTATGCAAAACTATGAATTATGAAACATAACCTAAAGGTCCACTGCAGCAATAGATGTTCCAACTACACAATGCTTAGTGCCCAAACTCCACCAGTTCTCCTAATAGATTTTGGAGAAGATAAGCCACCAAACAATAGGGAAACCTCTTAATCAACCAGATTGGCAGATTCCATTTATTTAGTCATCAATCTTCACAAAAAGGAACTAAGAATAATTTAAAAGCTTTAAGCTCTCCACCACATGATTGCATTTCTTGCAAAATAATCGATCAAACTGAAACAACTGATCATTAAACAGATTATAACTAACCATGAAAAAGAGGAATAGCTGCGACATTACCTCTTTAGTTGTCAAGATATTTGCACCCTTGATGTCTCGATGAATCACTCCCTGTTCATGTAGATAAGCCAAGCCTTCCAACACCTGTTTTTACATGAAATTAACATAACCTGATAAACTTTTTTAACCCCCAAATATAGCAATAATAAGTTACAAAATGAAGCAAACCTGAGCAATATAAACCGCAACCAAAGTTTCTGGAAAAGGTCCAAATTTATTTGGCTTGATAATGTTAGCAAGTGAACCATTCTCAACATATCTACAAAATCAGCATGCACAGACAAAGACATAAGTCTCTAAACACAAAGTTTTGGACAACACCGCAACAGCATAATGAGCCTACTTACTCAAGAATTATATGAAGGTGAGTCTTTGTCTTTGATGACCCAAGATATTTCACAATGTTTTTGTGATTCAAGTTCTGAAAGAAAATTCCATCTTTAATTAGCAGAAATAGATATGTTGAAGATTTTCTAAATCTAAACAAGACAAAGCTTAGCAGCACAAAATCATGAGATTAGATAATGATGAACAACAACAATAAATTGGCATATATTCAATATATGGGCATTCTCACTGATAAACAACTGAGAATGACCAAAAAAATTACCAAGAAAACAGCCAGCTAACTTCATTCAATAAATTGCAGAAAACATGATGAATAATTGAAGGGTTAAAACAGGAAAACAGATCAAACCCTCAGTCAACAGATATGGCATCTTGAGCACAAACATGGATTCTCTTGTGCAGAATATGTGAAGGGGAGAATCTCAAAGTAGCATTTTGACTAAAAAAATAAAGTCTAAACAAGCACTCAAGACAACTAAAAGAGAAAGACTACCTTCAATAAATCAATCTCTTGCTGAAAATCACAGCATCCAACCACAGAAGAGTACCCAAGAAAAACAGCAACAGGTCAGCGAAACTAATTTATTCAAATATAGAATTCCTCTATACCAAACAAAATTGTCAAAATATATAAAAAACAAATAACAGAAATTAAGTTATGCCATAATGAAGGGCTACAATGACTAATAGATAAAAAGTGCGTCTCAGCCAATAAAACCCACCATACTAGCTTAATTAGGGGAATTTAAGAGCAAAAGATCAAATCCAAATAAAGCTGCATTTTTTACTAATTTAAAGCCAACATGACAGAATTACAGCTTAAAGGACCAACAATGGTTAAAATACCACAAACATTTTTCAATAATAAATAATTTACAGAAATGATCAGTTAATATCCTACAAAGAAATGAGATGTCTCCATAAAAAGACAAATTTAAAATCTTTCTCAGAACTGACAAGTAGCATTTTGAAATGATACATGGGAGCCGTCCCGTCTACCTTGTCATTCCCTTATCAGAAGATAGCTTTTAGCATACTATTACTTTTCCCAAAAGAAATGCTAGGGAAAATTAGAATGACAAAAGGAACCTCAAAATAAAATGAGAGAGATAATAATTTGATAATAACTGAAAAGAAATGTGGAATCCAACCATGATAACATTGAGATCCTCTTGTGCAATGTTCTCTAGAGAGACTTGTTTAATTGCAACAAAGTCTCCATTCTCCAAATCCAAACCTTTGTATACTCGAGCATACGCACCTTTCCCAATCTCATCTCCAAGCATCTACAGGGTACGACATAATGAGAGTTGGATACACAAAAAACATAGAAAACACAAATCAAAGATTTTGTTTCTCCAGCCAGAATAAAGAATAAAATCAAGCTTTAGCATTCAAAAAATATATATATTCAAAGGAAGAAAATCATCGTATTCCCCGAGTCTCTAAGCAACAAACTAAAATCCAAGTTCCAAACCATATCTGGTTTTCATTACTGAGAAAATCTTTGAAGAAAGAAATGACCCAAAGAAACTAACAGATTCACTCACATTGAAGAGCAAAAGCAAGAGCAACCAAGAAAACACAACAATTGAGTTCAAATCGGGATCGAATTTCGAATTACGCTTACATATTTATTATCGAGAGTCTTGGATTTGTGGAACTGAGCCGTAGCCGTTTGGCGTGACATTGCAGCTCTCCGTCTCTCTCTTCAACGAGAAACAAAAGCGATTGGTCGATCCTCAGAGAAACCCTACGGTAATTGTTCCACAACCATGGAGGACAAGCTTTAGGGTTTTGAATGCCGTGAATCCAGCCAGTACTCCGGGGAGAAGAGAAAAGAAGAGAGAATTGGTATCCGCTTCAAAACCAATTAATAATCAAAAAGGATAATTATCTTGGTTAAGAGCATGCGCCAGCTCAGATCATAGTGCCAGCCTGCCCCCCACACTGTTGCCAACTTCCTCTCGTTTGGAAATGTTTATATACAGAAATAAATAAAATAAGGAAAAAGCTCGGCATCATGGCCTTCGTTCACGCCCAAAAATTTTCATTAGGTATATTATGGGTGTTAACTTAAGAGTACATTAAAATTTAACATTATTAAATTACTGTTAGAGTTAGAAAATATAGTTTTTAAAAAATGTGAAAATGTTTGTACATAAGTGTAGTTAAAACTTTGAATTATTAAAAATTTTAAATTTAAATTTTGAAAAAAAAATTAAAAAAAAAAAAAGAGAAACATTGATTATTATATTTATATAACATATCATTTAAAATATCAAAAAAAAAGTAAAAATTAGCATTTATAAAGTGATTGAAAAAAATTATCCATATTTAGGTAATTATAATGTCAAAAATAATAAAAAATAAAATATTCTTAATAAATAAATGTACAAGAAAATTTTATTAAATTACATATAATTTGCATCTTATAATATCTTTTATCTGAAAATGCAATTGAAGGAAGTGAAGTGCCGGTAAGAGGGGATTCTTCTGGAATTTTCTATGGGAAACTTAATTCAAGGTGACAAAATCCAACCACCCTGAAAAAGACATGATAGAGCAACAACAATTTTATCTGTCGAATTTTTTATTTCCTAATTTCTTCCCATCTTTTATCTTTTAGGAACTGATAAGTGATCGTATTAAAACCAAAGTCCCAAAAAGGTTACAAGATTATACTCTGGGGCATACCCAGAGTGTGCCTTCTACGTGCAAGTTTCTCATGCTATCAATATTGTCATCTCAATAAATAAATAATTCTTTGACTAATTGCGCCTGGACCATTCCTTTCTTGGGTGAATTCTCTCTTGTTCTTTTCGTACCATAATCCATACCAGCTGGATAATCCTGCTTTGCGGGGTGCAATGTCGGGCCCAACTTTGAATGGGCAAACTTTGTACGTTCCCGACTTGGGTTACTGTGGATAGACTCACAAGAATTAGGGTTTGTAAAGTAATCAATATCAATAAGTTAGAGGACATCTGAAGCTTTTACAAAAATGAAAATTCTTAGAATGTCTAGCAATATTCACAGCCTCAGAAACAATTTTTTTACATTTATTTTGTCTGATAGTCATAATAATCATTTAATGAAATGTGTTTTTAGAAAACATTGAGTTTCTTATAAAAAAATCTTCCAAAACACATTTATGTACAAAAAATGTGAAAATTTTTTTTTTTATCTTTATTGCACAATAAGAGACAATTATCTTCTATCTTTTATCATACGTTACTTGCATGCCATGTGACTCAAACTCAGGATATATTATTTTCAACAGAAAAAAATGAGCACTAAACTATTTAGATCATTAACATGTGAAAAAACTAAAAACTTGATAAAAAAAAAACTATTTTCAAAAAGACATTTAGAAAAAGTTTTAACATTAAGGATTTTGTACAAAAGCATTTTCACCTATAATTTTTTTTTTCTTATTGCAAGATTTAAGAGAAAAAATTCCAACTCCAAGAGAAAAGATCCAACACTATGAATTTTCAAAACCAATAATCAAAAAGGTTGAAAAAGTCTAGAACTTATAAAGAGGGTTTGGAGCAATGTGTCAAAGGCAAGTTTTACATTTCGTTTTTTAGCAAGATACTCCTACAAATTTAAAGTAATAGCAAGGAGCCCTAATTATGCATTCTTAAAGACTATAAAAAGATGTAATTGATGCTGGAGGAAGAACAAGAGAGTGTGATTCTAAACTTTGAGTAAAAACAACAAAGTTTTCCTCATCAACCGTTAATAGTACTGATCAAGTTGTGATTCTCTTCTTCTTACACTTCAAAAGAGAAAATTTACAAATTTCATGAATACAAAATGATTTATTGAAGTCTCAATCAAATTAAAAACAAAAAAAAAAAAAAGTAAAATGATTTCATTGTCAACATGTGAACATTCATAACATTGAATAAGAGAAGTATAAATCCTAAATAGACAAAAAAATACAATAACTTTCACTAACTACAAATTTTTTTTATATCCACCCCTCATCTCGAAGTCAAAATCAAGTTTTGCTAGTGGTAGGTGGGCAAAGAACATCAATTACTATAAACCAAAAAATAACAAATGTTTTATCAAAGTTGCATTCTATATAGCCTAATGGTCCATGAACCTTAGAAAAATGCAAGATTCACCGTGCAAAGTTGTTCTTTGAAACATTTAACAATAGACAACAACACCCTTTAAGTAAATATTGATATAGTTTTAAAATATAAGGAAAAAGTCTATTACCAAGGTTAGTGGTAAGATTTACCATTATAGGGAGTTAAACTTGATAGCTTACCCAAAAAACTTTCAGCAGCCTTGGGATCACTAGGATTTTCCTATGCCCAAATATGCATAGGGTCTTTACATTCTCTGCATAGTAGTTGTGGAACTTCAAAATAAAGGCTTTTTCCCTCATTATCTTTTAACCAAAATCGTAAAAATAGCATGATTTATGATGTTAAAATGCTAAAAAAAATTTAGTAGAGATCACATTATGGTATGTCATCACTTAAAAACTTAAGAACTTGCCCCTTTTGTGTAGAATGAGATAATAACATTAAATAGAACCTAAAAATTGAGCTTATTTCTAACTAACATGCATTATGTTTCTAATTAGGATATTGATAGGCTTACCCTCTGAACTGACACCCATCTCCACACACACGGTCAGTTTATATAGTAAAATCAGTCTTCCTAACAGGCTTATTCCCCACTTATCCAACAGAAGCACCCTTAGAAACACTTGAATTGAATCCTTAAAATCTAGCACTCCTATCATGACACAGGGTTACCCATCTATGAATCCCCTAGAGATGCAATTGTCATGTTGATCGCAAAGGAAATTGAGACAGAAGATTCAGGTTGGTTTGAAACTTAGAGCACAGAGCAAGGAGATGGACCTGTGAAGAAGACCTGCAAAATTAGGTCTAGAATCTGGGCGAATGGAACCCAATCATCATGGCCATGATCGGGAGGACCATCAATTGAGACGTAGAAGGCTTGTTGAGTTTAAATGATGGTGTTTTTTTTCTTTTTTCTTTTTCTTTTTTTTTTTATTTTGCTTGGTAATCATATAGAGACTTAGCAAGAATTTGAAAACTGTTCTACTATGATTATAATAGATTTTGGGCAAATGAAGCTAGGAAGAAGAAACAAGGAGGAAGACAGGTGGAATGTGGTGAGTTCATTGGACAGAGAAAGGAGGCAACAGCAGGTCGAATGGAGAAAAAGTGAGCTATATTCTAACAGGAGGTTAATTCATGTTAATTACGATAGTTTTAATGACCATTAAGTGTTTCAGGTTAGAATGGCCACAATTAAGAGTTATTGTACATCATTTTAAGCCGAAAAGATTTATATAGTATGTTCTTATTGAAATCAAATAAATGTAATTTGCATCTCCTGGTGTCCTAGTGGGGATAACAAAGTCCTAAAACCAGGGTTCAATTAGGCATAAATGGTTATGACAGTAGAGATGAACATCCAAGCATGGTTAAACAATTAAGAGGCAAAAAAAAGTTAAGACCCTGGTTTGGCAAATGATATTGGAAAATTTGAACCATGGTTAGTGTGTATAGTATTTGATAAAGTGCTACTTTCATAAAAGAATGAGTTATTGACTGATTAGTTAAGTATGTAATGATTTGTGAACCCTTGGCTATTGTTCTATGCTCTTAATTGTAGACTTAAATATTACATTTTGTTACCTATACTAATTTAAAGTAATTTGATTTGGTTGTAGTTATTGACATTTGTATAATAACCTGTCATTGCGAGAGTATGATGTCATAATAACTTGACAATTCTAAAAGGGCGAGTATCATGGACACAAGGCTAGAAAATTAAAATTCTTAAGGGAGCATTTGCTGGACTATACAAGAACAATATCTATGCGACATTGGAGTATTTTTTTACTTCCTAATGCCAAAAACATTTCTCAAGATTCTATATCTTCTTCTTAGAATTTGGCAAGCTTATAAATGTTGCAGATGGTAAAACATGATGGAGTCAAAGCCTCATGCATAATTTGCAAGGGGCTAAATACATAAACTGGAACCCTAAACACAATAAATTTATTTACTGATTGTGTATATAGATAATGGCATTAGGAAAAATTATTTTCAAAACTAGATTTCCAGTGGAACTATATCTCCATTTACTTTGGTGACTTCCACGTATGTTCCTTTGAGAACTATAAATGAACAGCGTGCAACTTTGAGCAACAATGAAGTCATATAAGTTTATATTACAAGTAGAAGCAAAAGGGGATTCATCCGTTCTTAACACCACAACAATTTTAACTTTTTATACCCGATTGCATTTTCAATATAAAGGGCTAGCATTGACACAATTTAACAAACTTGATTGTAGTGTACTAGTCCACCGTTTTAGCATAATGTAAGCTATAATCCTTGAATGTTACATCCCAAACCCAATACACCACACAAGAATTTGTCCCCATACTTAATTGCACTAAAACTAGTTCCTCCTTATGCCTCCAACAGAATATGCCACAAGCCTTTAGGGATAGCTTCGGGGAAACAATTTAAATGAAATAACATTGCATCTTAATTTAGTTATTCATAATAACCCTCTACACTTCTTATACTCATAAAACTTGTCATGATTGGTAAAGTGAGTTCATGTTCTATATTCCACATTTATTATACTTTATATTGGGGGAAAAAAAAAAGTAGAAACATTATCCTTTACAAATTTATTGGACAATGGATTTTGAAGGAAACATTTATGCAAAATCCCAAACACCCAAGCTCAGGTTTTATAGTCCGAGAATTGTGTCTATGGTAACAATATGTAGTGTCCAAGAATAAAGAAAAATTCACAATAGTAGATTTTTAACAAAACCTTTACCCACATTATTGTTTTTGGCAGATACAAGTTAAAAGCATGTTTGGTTCAGTTTCCAAATGCTTCAGCTTTTTAACATTATTCATGTTTCATAAATTTAAATTTTCCTCTTAAAAACTTACATTTTAAAACTTTTTTTTAACTTTAAAAAGATCCTGAACAGTAAAAGGTCAAAAGCTTCAAATCCAAACTTTTCATAAACTTCTTTTTTACTCACTTTTTACTCACTTTTTACTCACTTTTTACTCACTTTTTCTTCTCTCTAAAAGCAACTTTTAAATTTTTCCTCCAATAAAAATTTAAACTTATCACTTATAAACAGTACCAAAAAAGTAAAAGCTCTTACAAGCTAACTCCAACATGCTCTAACTGTCTTTCTCAATTGCAAGGTTGCTTCCTCAACGCCACACCTTTCTGCAACTGTTGGACATTGAAGGCCCACAATCTTCTAGGCCAATCCTGAAAACAGTGTGAACAATAAAACATAAGTTGTACAGCTGAAGTAACCATGGGTTATAACTTAAGAGCCATAGCGAAAATTTTAAACTAATTTTTTGCACCATTTTCCTATTAGTAGGAGATGCAAATTCATCAACAAACCATAATCGAAATAATATAAATTTCTCCCGTCTCTTTAACTAATAACACAAGTTCCTACTAACTGCACGATCACTCTATCTCCATTGTACAATAGAGCAGAATATATGTTCAATAACCTCAAGAAATCATAATTGCTTCAATAAAACAAAGTTCTTCAATACATAGGACTTTCTTTACTATCATAACATCATCACATAAATCCTTTCACTCATCTACCCCACAAATCAACATTCAAGCATTGTGCTTCTTTGCTTATGGCAAATGAATGCTAGCTCTTGTGAACGTATTTTCCCTTTTAATAGTACATCCCAGAAGACAAATGCTACAACCAAAGGTTGTTAGTCATGTGTAATGGATCTACATATCTTTCTTCATGATCCCACTCAAACCATCTTACACTTATCTCAATCTTTAGTGGTTCTCATTTCAGATTTATTCTTTCCTTACTCTGCTCTGTACATTAGGATCATCATTGTTCGATGCTTATGTAAACATAACATATATACTGCAAACTCATTCCACTTTTCACTCTTTCTTTAGAATAGCTTAGATAATTACAAAACCAAAGGCAATTATCTTGGTTTACATAAATACCAATCAAATAATTAGAATATACCTAACACAGTTTCCATCTTTTTTAAACACAACTTACAAGAGCAAACAACGTTACCTAGTGGTTCACATATAATTACATACTCACCTCATTACTCAATAACTCATTCTTTTCTAAAACTAGCATTTATTTACATGGTGTACACACTAAGCATGGTTTAATTTTTGCAATATTATTTGCGAAACTAGGATCCTCACTTTTCTTTTCTTTCCTTTTCTTTTTTCCCCTTAAACTGTTAGTGCATGACCGCATCTTTATCTCTATTGTCATAACAATGTATCACTAATTTACCGATAGTTTTATGACTGTTGTTAGGACTCTGTTCTGCCTAACACAATGCAAAGACATGCACATTACAGTTATTTGATTTCAATAACAACAAACTACCTTTATATGAAACATTCCTTTCGATAATATATACAATGCAATGGAAATTACAACTAAATCACACACGTGTCCTCCACCACTGCAACCTGCTGTTGCACACTGGTTGTCAAGCATCATCGATTCTGCACTGGGGTCACAATGCTTGCCAAAACCCTAAACTTTATTTAACATTCAGAAAACATCAGTAACAGATTACCGTCTAATTCAAAAACAACATTCAAAAACTCCATACTTTTTTCATATTGAAATTAAAAAAGAATTTCACACCAATAACTTAAATTCTATGTCTACGCTATGGGTATCAGCACAGACACTCCTCACCTGAGAAGCACAACAATCGATTGTCTCTTATCTAGCTGAAAATCGCAACCCAATGATGAATCTCCATGGCTCTACTGCACCCTTTCTTCCACCCAATCCTTTATCTCTACCAACCAAAGTATCACATCAAAAAGGATGATGGCAAATTAGAGCAGTTGAAGGTTACGGTTGGTATCTATTTGGATGCATAAATAGGCCAAACTTCGTGGATGGCTACAACCTACATGCTATAAGAAGATGTTATTTTACGGAGTTAAATGTTATTTTATGGGATGTGCACCCACCGAGTGTTGAACCAGAGGGTGCACATATCATTATCCTTTTAATTAATAACCCCTTTAGAATGGAGAACAAAGTAATAAAAGTTTATTTACCCGAAATGCAAAGTAAATAGAGTAAATCAAAGGTTGAACGGATTTTTCCCCCTCCCTCCACATCATTCTTTATCTTACAATGCTTGATCAAGATATTCTTTAACATCTTCCTTCAGCAAAGGAAACCAAAACTGATGCAATATTTTAACAAATATGGGTAAATGCAATTTGTTCCTTAGACTTGATTTCCTTTTATGTTTCTCAAAGATATGTACGTTACCATTATTTTTTTTTTTTTTATGGGAACCGTCTAATTTCCAAATGACAATCACTACACTCCAACTAGTTACTATAATTACAAGGTTAAGATCACTAAAATGCTTTAAAATACAATTTCAATACTTGAATTTATTGATAAGTAAGTATTACCTCATAAATTAAGTATAAAGTTTAAGTTTTAAGCTAATAGCACTCAAGCATATTAATTTTCTTATAAACACCACCCCAATGTATGGGGCCTTTTAAATTGCTTAAAAAGGATTTAGTTCCAAAATACACAAAAATTAACTCAAAAACACGTTAAACATGTTTAAAAACAAAAAAAAAACCTTAAAAAGAAGCCCAGCTAATGGATCATGAGAACATATTATTTATAATGCAATGGATCATATAATCATACTCTTATATTAGTAATTTATAATGTCATGGACTGAAAGAACATATCATAACAAATTTTGAGTTAAAAAATAAAATTATTTAATTTAAATAGAAACATAGAAAAATTGATGAAAAATAAAATATATTTATTACTTTAAAATGATGTAATCAATTTTGTCTGCATAATATAAATTATTAAATAAGAAGCATGTATAGACCCTCTAATATTATAAGTTATCTCCATTCAATGATCAATAACAGAACTAAGTTGAACTATGGTTAGGCGCATGCCTTACCATAGCTTTTTTTTAAAAAAAAAAAAATGAACAGACCCACGTCAAGACTTTTAGAAAAAATGGTTAAAGACTCTACTTCAAATATATTTGCAATGAGAAAAAATACTTTAGTCTGAAGTAGTACCCTTAATTTATTTCTAGTTCTGCTACGGCGAAATTCTTATTACTTACATAAATGGTGAACAGTACAAATGCATTTCGGTGCACACCGAAACCTAAAGAGAAAATTTGTGCCGGTGTCAGTATACGTGCCGAACTAAAGAGTAAAATTTCTATAAAAACCGACGGTGTTTCAGTTCTTACCAAATAATGCTAAAGCCTAATATAAAAGTACCAAAACTTGCAGAAAGTTCTGCTAAACTTGTCTGCAGAGTTGGGATACATTTTAACAATGGCAGTTTTACGCAATAAGAGTTCTTTGAAATTTTCTACAGTTAAATCTGAGCAAAGCATACATTTTATCAAAATTACATGCTAGACGCATTTAAACCTTTAAACTTGACGACGAAAAGCTGAGCATGGTGATTACAGAAAGGTTTCTTGAGTTTATGTACTTTGAGTTTTAAAAGTATTTAAATATTGAAAAAAACTCATTAACAGTATTTTAGTACTTTCATAAATGCAGTACAGACAGGAAAAACCATTCTTCACTGATTAAGCTGAGTTTTGTACAATTATGGTCATCAAGCTTTAACAACAATTTTTGTATGCCGATTTGTAAATGGGACGAAGTTCCCCAGGCATTGATGTATTTTGTTCTTGGGTTTTGATAATATGCTCCCCCCTTTCCACCAAAAAAAGCTTTAACAAGAAGCCATGCTATTAAATTTTAACTAACTGACATTTATTAAACAAAAAATAAACAAGTTTTCTGCAATCTGCACACAACGACCAGACTGGTTCTGAACTAACTACTATAGTTTGAATGGTAACCAAGCAACCCAATTTTCCAATTTTCCAAATTAGTAACAGCACACTGGAAATGGAGAGGAACAAATAATTATTAAACAGATTTAATCCAACAAATAGCCTCATTTTTCCCGTACTTATCTTCCAAGGTTCCTTCTATGGTTTCCAGAGAATGGTGGTTTCAGCAATCATTGAAGAAACCACATACGGGTCCATATTGGACGCTGGCCTCCTGTCCTCAAAGTAGCCTGTAAGAAGTATACCAAGAGACATGTCAAACTTCTATCCATTTTAATAAAATGAAATTAATTTCAAAATTAAGATTAAGAAAATAAAATTACCCTTTCCATCTTTCTCAGTATCACGACCAACACGGATAGAAGCTCCCCTGTTTGCAACACCCTGAAATTTGGAGAAGGAGGCCTCGTCAGCAAAAATTTTCAAGAGATTTCGAGCTAATTATTTAAATCAATATTATGTGTTGCAAAAAAATGCGTTTAAACATACCCACGAGAAGGTGTTGATGTCTGCTGTCTCATGACGACCTGTCAACCTTCTCTCGTTGCCTTCGCCATAAGCAGCAATGTGCTCTTTGTGGCGAAGACCCAACTTTTCAATTGCCTTTTTGATCACGTGAATCCCACCATCATTCCTCATTGACTTAGTACTGAACATGAATGACAAGAAATTGTGAGTTTATTGACTTCATAATTTAAGTGCTCATTTCAATTTTTCATCTATGCACAATCATTTGATCTTTCCAAATTTTATGTGTAGTATCTACCTGTAATTGGTGTGGGCGCCAGCCCCATTCCAGTCTCCCTAATCACATATAATGTTAGAAACTTAGAATATGATCACCATGAAGATAGACGGATAAATAAACCAACAAAACAAGGATAGAAATAGTAAAGGAGGAACTAGAATTCATTTGCAGCATCAAAACAAAACCTGGATTGGCTTTGGATCAAAAGAAAGAACCACACCAGCAATTTCAGTAATACGCTGTTCAACCAAAGAAAATGAAAGAGGTTATCATAAAACCCATGCCGACGACTAAATAATATTTGGTGATAGGTATTGGCATACCTCGAGAATGTATCGAGCAACCCAAACTTGATCCCCAGCGGAGATCCCCACAGCAGGGCCAACTTGGAATTCCCACTAATTTACACACAAATTTAGTGAAAAGTGAGAATCTTCTTTGCAGAATTTCTTTATTGGTAAAAAAAAGCAAACATACCTGACCCGGCATAACTTCACCATTGATTCCACTTATGTTAATACCAGCATAAAGACAAGCTTTGTAATGAGAGTCAACAATGTCTCGGCCAAATGCCTTGTCGGCTCCCACTCCACAATAGTATGGGCCCTGTAGAGATATAAAACTTGGTTAAATAGTGAAAACAGAACCCCAAGTACCAAAAAGGTCCAGAGAAAATACATACCTGCGGACCAGGATAGCCACCAACGGGCCATCCAAGCGGCCATTTAACATCCTTCTGAAGGAGAGTGTATTCTTGCTCAATGCCATACCTAGTTTCCAGATAAAAGTAAAGCTTGATTCATGAACATTGAGTTCAAGGAAGAAGGAAAGGAAATCTAATAAGAAGAGAAAATATGCATAGGTTAATCAAAAGAGTAAATATTGATCCAAAAGTGGTTGCGCTTTCAGTTTGAATAATCAAAAGAGAAATAACCTTTATTGGATGTTATGATTGTTTAACAGGAAGAGATAGAAGCATGGGTTAACCTTTATTTGGAAATCTAATAAGAGATATAACCTTTATCGGATGTTAAGATTGTTTTTTTTTTTTTTTTTTTTTTTTTTGAATAATTTTGCAAGGGGTCAAATTTGAACCATTGCTAAGGGATCCACTTAAACATGACTTGATGTCACTGTGCCTGAAGGCCCAAGTGCGGATGTTAAGATTGTTTAGTGCCAAATCAGTCGCAGAATTTTAACTTATTGTAGTTGTAGAGGATTTTTAAAGTTGTTTAATATCAATGCTACACTTCACTTTTACGTTAAATTAGTAATAACCATAATAATAATAATTCAAAAGTTGACAAACTCTTGAGTGAGGGGCTTCAGAACCCTTAGAAGGGTTGGAACAGCTTTGTATTTTTTAATAAAATATTTTATTATCGATAATAATAAAAATAAATTTTCAAAGTGATTATTGTCACACAAATAAAAGTTATAGTCATATAAATTATAGTTTTTTTCTTAAAGACTAGTTATGGAGTTTGAAAATATTAGTTTATAAATTGATTTCAATATGTTAAGTAATAATTATTTCATCAATTATCAATTAGCTATTCCTAATAATAGTTAAATTAAACAAAATTATTTTTTATTTTGGTATGTCAAATGATGAGCTCTATGATCAAGAATACTCCTCTCTCTCCCAAACCCCTCTCCACTTATCTTAACATTTGAATTTGAGATTTCCAATATGAAAACTCAAAGTTCTTATCTACTAAAACATCCTTTAAGAAACAAACTTATTATTTTGTAGACAATGCTAAAAAATTTGTGTTATCAAAATATTTTTTTACGTGACAATAATCATACTCAAGTTAAGGGGCAAGGGTTGATTTTCTCAAGTAAATAATTTTTTTTTTGAAGAAAACAATTATTTTTTTAATATTTTATTTTACTTAAGGTAACAGAGAAAGCATTGGACTGGATCCATTTTAAGGTAGGCGGCACCTACTCCAGAGCGTGGAGGACAAGTTAATACCATATATTATGCTAAAAGACTTGTATAGTTTGCATATAGCTTTCATTATTTTATTTACTTATATTTATTATTTTCAACATCATCGGCAGTTGGGATATTAGTTTCACACTACTAAACATAATGCCTTTGTGATGAGGGACAAGAATTAAAATAGCTGGTCCATGCAATTACATTAGTCAAACATCTTAAAGCACTAGATTCCTGTAAGAATCTTCCCTTGCGTGGAAATTTTTGGTGTGTGGGCTCTTCATCGTACAAAAATACAACAAAGTGAGGATCAACTCAAGCCCACACCTCAGATCTCACTGGCACAAAATGGACAAAAAGAAAAGTACAAGAAAGACGTGGAAAAGAAAACCTAACAACAGGTTTGAAAGAAACTACAGAATATGGGAGGCCATTATATTTTAGTCTAAACAATTAATTGCACGCCTAGCTTTGGTTTTTTTAATTTTTCGAACGAGGTGAAATGAGGGTGTATATGGAGAATCAAAAAAAAAAAAAAAAGAGAGAGAGAATTTTATTCATGTTATGTGGAATACCCCTAACATCTATAAATGATTGTTTAACATTTTCTTTAAATACAGAACAGTTGAAGGAGTAGCTTAGTTACGACTTTGAATTGTCTTTTAAGACAAATGGTAAGTTTGGGATTACTATGAAATGTTGCGACTATAAATTGTGATAATAGCAGTTCTGTGTTGTAATTGTATTTGAAATTTATTTTAATGTTTGGTTGTTTATTTCTTAAAAATATTATGAATGAAATATGAAAAATTTTATTAATTATTAATTAAATTTTAAAAAATATGATAAGATATATAATTATTAAAATAGATATTATTTTTTTTAATAATTTAGGTTTTTTATATTTATTATAATTAGTAAAATATTATAAATTATGATATAATTAAATTATATGAAGTTGGGTTTTAATGAATAATTTTATAATTATATTAAATATTATGTGTTCTCCTTAAAATCACAGTTAGAAAGTTTTAAAATGAAATTTCTAATTTTATATATAAAATTACTGTAAATTTGTTGTGGTTTTCTACAACTTTAAAAAAAATAATCTAAAAAATTATTAAATACACATATATCTAAAAATATTATACAGTTACATGAAAAAACTCCCAACCATAATCCTACATGCACCCAAAGTAAGTTCTTTTTATTTTATGTCCAATACAAAGTAACTATTAAAGAATCGATTTTCCACCTTATATCATAAAGAAAAAATTGAGAAAAACTCAACATAATTCAAGAAACCTAGTTCTAATTAACTACCCTATAATATGGTTATCCATTCACTATCTCTAAGATAATGAATATTGAGATAATATTTCATTACAATGTTCTTAAGATCTTATATACATTGGAGGTTTTTCTATCTCGTGCCAGGGCACAAATTAATGGTACAAAACATATCTTTTTAAATTAATCTTACACTATTGAGATAAGTATTTTTATCTTGAATTTTTTTAATTAATTAAAATGAACAATTAAATCAATGCTCAAACGTACCATTTCAATGTACTCCTAGAATTACGAAAGATCGCCTTAAGAATATATTTTTTTTTCATTGGACAATTAGGTTGGCTGGCATTTGCCTTAAGATTACCGAAAACAAGGAATTCCTATGTAGCACTTTTTAATCCTTTGATTTTGCGCTACATTTCAGCTTTTTTTCCTCTTTTTTTTTTTATTAATAAAAAAATAATAATTAAAAATTAATATATATTCAATAAACAAAGAGATTCGAACTTGAATAAACTCCACTTGCTTTCAAAGAGGAGCGCGGCCCAACCAATGGACCGCACGAGGGAGTTCACATTTCAGCTCTTTTTAAATGGACAAAACAATTTCATTTTCTTGTTGAGTAATTGACGGGATGAAGAAAGCCTACCAAAGCCGACTCATGGCGAAACCCACCAAACCTAACGTTTGACAAACAGCAAATTGTTCGTTGAAAATGAGAACACTACGGACCCGCCGAATGGTACATAATTTTATTCTCAACTTGATTTAAATAACAAGTATTAAATAACGTTAAAAAAAAATAACGAGTATTAAATAATTAAAACAGGATAAGTGAGAGAGAACACACAGTTTAGATAATTTGGTTGTTATTTCTACTGTAGTTTATATCTACTCTCATGTGAGCTGTAGGCCACCTAACAGGTTAATGCTATGACTGTAAACAAGTCAGTCAGCCAAACTGAATATCGGGGCATTTGGGGTCGAACTTCAGTCAGGTTAAAAAACACATGCTTAAACTTGAACTTTTTGAAGTTTCAAAAAGTAGAGCTTGAACTTAAATTCAAAATCAAGCTTGAGCAACTCATTCAGAAATTAGCTTGACTAGATTACAGGCTCTAATAAAATATTCATTTCCATCTTATTTAGTTGTCCTGTTGTCCTATTTGTTAAATTGAGGATATCCAAATTTGTTAGTTTCAGTTTTCCATTATTATTATTATAAAGTTTTTTCCTTTTTTTTTTTGAAAAAAGGATCCCTATTAAAGGTCATTTGCTTCATGGTAAAATCAATTATTATAATAAATAAATAAAGTTACTCCTAATTATGAAAGGCAAAAGTAGAACGACTAAGTCAAACAAAAGTAGAATAACTAACTCAAACAATGTATTGATATAATTTATATATATATATATATATTTTTTGAACAAGTAGATAAAGGTGGATTCGAACCCACCATAAGAAAGAAAAATGTGTACTTTCAAAATAATTCGAAGGTCATTTAACTTAAAAAATCAAGTGTGATATAATTTATATTTTTAAATTGAGTAACTACTAAAGATATTATTATCTAGTTCAAAATCAAATTTGAATAATCTAATAATTGGCAAGTAATTCAAAAGCTTCACGATGTCCACTAAAGATATTATTATCTAGTTCAAAATCAAATTTGAATAATCTAATAATTGGCAAGTAATTCAAAAGCTTCACGATGTCCACATTCAAAATTTCCAGCTAGCAATCCAAAAATTAAAATAGTTTGAAAAAACGATAGAGATTCATATAATTAAAATACTTGTTAAAATATCCATCAGAACTAAAAATTTTAGTATATAATTACCAGGGCACCTCGGCGACGACGTCAGGGTGGCTAAAGATCTTAGCCGCGTTAAATCTCTTATTGGTTGGGATGGGTTCGCCGGCCGGAGTGTACGTGTCACACATAACCTTTTGTTATTCATGAAAACACACAACAAAATTAGGCCGTTGACTTTTTTTTAAAAAAAATTCATTAGGATTATCTGTCGTCATTGAAAATTAAAATAAAATTGTTTTGGGCGAACTAGTACAGGACAACCAACATTCCTGATATTGAGGAAAATATTTGCTTTTCTTTTTTCTTTTTTTTTTAAATCACGGGATACAGGGGAAAAAGTAAATTTTGAGCATTAATTACCAAGATGTTGTTTCCCCTTCTGAAAGGATCCTTGAATACCGCCTGCGGACTGATCCAATTAAAAAAAAAAAAATTTCAAAGATTCTTTAGCTACAAGAAATTCTGTTTCTATTCGAATAATAAAAGAGAAAAAAAAAAACAGGAGAATCCGACATCAAGGAAACGACTAATGAGAGAAATACTTACTACAGAATGACTTCACTGTCCTCGCCGGGGGCTTGGCCGGTACTGGAGCCGTCGTAGTTCCATTTCGGCAGCTTTGCAGGGTCGGTAACCAGTCCCGGCAATGTCTATCAAAACAGAGAAATAATTACTTTCTGGAAAGGAAAATCGAAATTCCTAGAAACCAGATCGCAGATTTAACAGAGAGGAATGAATGTACAGAAATACGTACCCTTGCTTTGCTTCTCAAGTCCATGCCCGATCCACCGATCCTGTAACAGAAATCAATAGGAAATTATGACTAAGAACCTAAAATGGGAGAGCAGAGAGGAGAGGGAGAAGAGTACCATATGTATTCGGCTATGATTTTGTCGGTGGAATCAGAGAGATTGAGGTTGAGGAGATCAGTGAGAGCAGACCTGGCCATTGGGCTTTTTTGGAAAAACAAGGAAGGAGAGGTGTGGGGGTAATGTTTGGCTGTGGGTAGTTATATAGGAAAAATGCTTCCACCTACTACCGTCACAACTCACAAGTCACCTACCCATCGAAAGTTCTGAGACAAACATATGGATCTTTTAGACCCGTGCACTGCAGCAGATCTCATGTTAATAATTAATTTATTAATTGATTATTATATTTTTTATTAATTTATATAAAAATTAAAGAGTTAATAAAAATAATAATACAATATTTTTAAAATTTTCTAATTGAGAGTATAATTTTTTTGTAACTAATTAAAATTATTACTTTTTAAAAGTTTTGAATTAAAATTATAAATTATTAACGATTTAAGTAATTTAGTAATAATTTTCTTTCGTTCGTTGAAAATAAGAAGTTCTGATTTTAAGTCACATGAATATAAGTGAAATAGAATAACGAATAAGAGAGAATTGTTTCCGTTTTCCAACCAATATAAAAATAAAATAAAATTATAAGTTATAATTTTATTCGCAACAAAATTAGGTACATTTGATTGGTGACATGAGTAATAGATTTCACTTAATCTTTGATCTGCTTTTATTTTTTAAAATAGTGACGGCTACATTAGTTTGCATTTTTGTTTATTTCTTTTAATAAAATCACAAAAGTCATGTCTTTAATTAGAAAATTTTAAAAGATTATAATCTTAATTAGTTATCAAAGAGAAGTTATATCCTCAATTAAAAAATTAACAAATTTTAGAAAGGTTGTATTTTTATTTTTACCAAATCTTTAAAAACTTATAAAAATAAATTATATTTTTAACATTAATATTACATAAAATAATTTAATTAGATAATTAATAAATTTTATATCAATTTTATTCTTTTATATATACTCCCTTAATATATTTTTAATAAATTTATTTTTATTTTTAAATTTTTT